CAAATTAGGGTTTTCAAATTAACTAGTTGGCTGAAAGCAGTACTTAAATAGAAGTGAATCAGAAAGAAGCTTTGAATGAAGGTAACAGGGTGATTGTGATGCGTCCTCCACCACTTTGAGCATTTGCTGGAGAGCCTGCATACCCGCACACAACGCACCCAGGAGACAATACTCTAGGCTCTGCCATCGCAGTGTGCAATTGAAATAAAGCACAAGCCACATAGATACTTTCAGTTATTTAGTAGCCACATTAAAAAAGGTGAACTCTAAAAAGTGAAATTAAATTTAATGATAAACTTTTTTTAACTCTGTATGTCCAACATATTATTGCTTGGGTATGTAACTGATATAAAAATTACTGAGGTACTTCCCTTTTTTGGGGTACTGACTTAGTCTTTGAAATCCAGTATGTATTTTACACTTAACAGTCTGTTTCAGTTCAGACAAGGCACATTTCAAATGGTCACTAGCCACCTATGGTGAGTAGTCAAACACTGTGGCCCTGGGGGGCCTTGAACTGGAAAGTGGGGTGCAATAGCAAGGGGTGGCTGATGAAGCAACACCATGATGGGCTGGGGGGACAGATGGAAGTTGAGACCACCTCCAGTTCTCCATTACTCAGTTACCTCACATGTTCGTGCAGGTCAGTTAACACTACAGAACTACATAAAAACTTAGAAGAAAATGTTAGCGCCAGATGCTGACTCCACCACTTAACTTTGTAACCATGGGCAAAGCACTTAGAACTCCCAGTTTCTTCCTTTGCAAAGTGGGCCTACTGATGAAGGCCCAAGCTCACAGGATTTGGGGGAAGCTTAAGTGAAACAATGCATGTAATCATCAGGGACATGCAGTGAATGCTTGATATGTCATCATAGTGGCTCTCTTATTAGCCATTTTGGTGAATCAGATTAGTTTAAAAATGAATTTAAAAGACAGTCAGATATTATCAATCTTTCTGTATTTCTCTAAAAAAGGAGAAAAATGACCATAATATCTATATGCAACATTTTTTTAAGAGTAGGCTTAATTAGTTCCTTAAATTGGGCATGATACCTCATGTAAATCATCTAAGCATCAAGAAATCCTGAAGATACTACACTACCTTAAAGACAATTTTGTTTTTGTTTTTAACTAAAGGTAATTATGTTTAATATTCCACAGAGAAACTTCTAGAGAAGACTACCCTAACATGCAGCCTTGTTATAGTAGCAGGTGAGCCAGTAAAAGAAGAGTTTTTCTTCCTCCTTCTCGTCCTCATTTATCTTCTTCTTTTATATAAAGTCAGCAGGAAGAACTAATTAAGGCAAAGCTAAAGGAAATTAATTCAAAGTTAGCATTGCACATGTGAACTAATATTCCCACAATAGCATATTTGAAAGTCCAAGCAAGGTACTCCATAATGTGCTCCATTTTCACCAGCAAGAGGGCAGAAGGGAGGTATCCCTTGGGTGTGCAATTTCACTCTTTATGGGGAGGAAAAAATTTCTTCTACCTCTTGAGCTGGTTTAGGAATCAAATTAACATGAGGCAGATTAACATGAGAAGAGAAAAAGTGTAATTACATATATATCGGGAATCCATAGACATAGATTCTAAAGACAGTCAAGGGCACTGAGGTGTATATATGGCATTTTGAACTAAGGAGAAGTAGGTAGGGGGCTGGGACTTCAGAGGAAAGGGGAAGCAATTCACAGGACTATGAAAGAAAATTTCTGGTAAACAAACTTTTGATGGAACACAGGAATTTCCCACTTCCCTCCCAGTCTACCACCCCTAGTCCGCGTTGGAATGTGGTTATCTATGGTGATGGCCCTCCTCCTGGAGGAGTTCCTCCATGTAAATCCTTTTTATGCAGTTGGTGATGGGAGGGGAAGAGGTGGAGGTCCAAGGGACTCTTTGAGGCCTCTGGACCTTGATTGTTTCCAGCTCTTGACAGATCTACCTGCTACAAGGGGACATTTTGTGGTAGCCTGCCTTTGGTCCCTATACTTAATCAAGTCGTTACTATTCAAAAATACAGTGTAATGGTCTCACCTAAAAATGTACAATGGAAAATCTTAACAAGTGCTAACGCTTGCTATTCCAGATACACCATCTGTGGGGATTTTGTTTAGAATGAAAGATGTAGTGAAAATTTAAGATGCAAATAAGGGGTGAATAAATATGGGGTGTACTTACACATTCATGCACCAAACACTGGGAGGCTGTGAACCATGCAAAGCCAAGAAATGTACTGAACTATCAATTTAGCAGGTCATTTTGAATGTAGGTGGCAAAATGGTTGTGCATGAAAACCCAGTACTATATTTTGAGAGATCCTTTCTAAGAATCCTGAAATATTAATACCGTCTTAATGTAGTTGAAGACAGGGGAATGTGTTAAGGGTAGCAAGGGTTGCTGAGAATAGCACAATGACAATTTTGTATGTTCTGCTTGTGCTTCTAAAAGCAAGAGGAAAAGAGTAAAAATAGTGTGTTTAAAGTGACCTTCAATTTTCCAATTAGGTATAAAACCCAGTACCCCAAATGAATTCACATACACTTATTCTTGGTAACACGTTAACAGCTTCAAGGAAAGGGAGAAAAATATAAAGTTGCAAATTGATTTTGTTCCTTTAAATACACATATATATACATATATGTGTATGTGTATGTATCTATACAGCTAATTTTTGAACTTTAAGAAATTCTAGACATTCTCCAAGTTGACTTTTGTGAACTATGAATTTAACTTTTCAACTGGGAGTAGTCTTAACAGAATAGAAGTTGAGGACATAGCAATGTCCCCCCTCCCTTTTTTCCTAAGAACATTTGAACATGCTGTTCTCACATTGCAGTGAATGAGTCATAGGCCAATTTTTGTTGTCAGTCTTCCAACCCCATTGTGAATTTCTGGATTTTGGTGATGCCTGATGAAATGGAGGTGCACAAGGGTCAGTCAGGGACATGGAGAGTTTTCCTCCAACATCCAGATGTGAAAAAAAATAAGTAAGTAGTTTATGCCTTCTTTGGCAGTCCCAGCACTGAGTATCCAGGTTTCTACAAGATGCCTTGTGGGCTGTGACTGAGTGACAGATGGGTCCCAGTGGGGTTTGTGTCTGAGTTCAGGGACTCACTGTGTTTGATGTGAGAAGGACAAGCTCGACCTTCAGTGCTTTTTCCTGCGAAAGCTGGGTTTCTGATTTTAATCGAAACCCTAGGGCCATCTAAAGCATGACCAAAAAAGCACCTTGCATGTTGAACCTTATCTAATTACGTGACGTGTATAAACTTGAGACACATAAATCTCAGTCATCAGAGCAGCTTGTTTTTCCAAGATGCTCCGGTCCAGTGAAAGACAAAAGCAAATAAGGGAGAGATTGATCTCCCAGCACTTTTATTGTCGGTGCTCCACACATCATAAAGTTTTGGCTCGTTAAAGGAAATTCTGTAAACAACTTAAGTTAATACTGGTGAAATAACTGTGTGCCTTTCTGAAGCTTCTGCTAAACTCCCTTTCCGCTTGCCATTACTAGAACATGATTAAGAAAATACCAACAGGATGTATAAGAGGGAGGAATAGACTTCAGCTGGAAGCCATACGGATGCTTGATGAATCAGTAGCAAGACAGGGGATGTGGCCATGATCTCCGAGAATTGAGCAGTATTGTGGATCTCTTCTTCTCAGGTCCTCGGAGTAAAATTGGCTGGATTGCTGGTGTGGTTGGTCTCTTGGTGGTCAGGCTGACAGAAAATGCCTGATGGGTCTTTCTTCCAACTGGTGTCTTTGCTAGTTATAGAAACATCCTAAGGACGTGATACATAGAGAGACTGAGAGTGAATCATACTGGAAAGATTGTGAGAAACTGTCACTTTATTTAAACCTCTGGTTGAATGAAATAACTATTTTTGATGGCTTTGTTTATTTCACTGTGGGTTTAACACTGATGGTGCTGGTCAATTTTTATTTTGGGTTGAGACAGATTTGGGAGGTGATTGTGGATGGCACAGGGGAGGAAAAAGGAGGAGCAAGGCCCTATTAGTTCTTTTTTATTGGGAGGTGTCACAGAATTTTTAAGTTTTTCCACATTAGTATAAGCAACCCTCAGTGTCACTGTGATGTTTGTAAAGATGAAGGCATGGAAAGGGTATCAGGTGCATAAAGAACTATATGACCCATGTTGTCTGCACCAGCTGCTTGGGGTGTAGGAGTGGAGGGAGGATGAGGGTATAGGGGATGTTGAAAACAGATAAACAGAAAGGTTTTATTAGTTAGAAAATAAATATAAAATATCTGCTGATCTTTAAAAAAATTCATAGCATATTATATTAGAGTCTACAGTTGATAGTTTAAATTATTACCCCGGTAATTGTGACCAGTGTCTTACCAAGGCTTTTCTTGTACGCAGGGTTGCTTTGTTGTTCTTTCACTTTGTAGGTGTAATTAAGAAATAATCCCCAACCAATTTTTTTCTTAGCACTTGGATACAATTCCAGTGGGTTGGTCCAAGACCATGTGCTCCGATTCCAGAGCATGTGGCCAAGAGCACAGGCTTAGGGGTCAAAGCTGGTCCCTGACGTAGATGTCATGCGTGGCCTGGTACCGACAGTTGACTGCTCAAAGCTGGTATTTATCATTTCTAAGGTAAGGCTAATACTAGTGCTTTTGGAAAAGGGGTGCAGTAGGATTAAATGCCATCATGCATGTAAGCAGGATACCTGGCACTGGGGGTGCACTTGGTAAACTTTACTTGTGATCTAATTATTACTACCTGTTTTAGGACATTTTCTTCCCTAGCACTTCTTACCACCTGACCGGGAATGTTACTGACCATTAAAGAGTGGCTGTAAACAATTCATGTTTTTGGTTACTTTACCTGTGACCTACCCCAAGCCAGATAGATGATCACTAGAGATTAGCCAAAAAGTCTCTCTTCTTCTGAATCAAGGAGGTGACATCCTGCTTTGTTACATTAGTGGTGGCTTATATTGTTTTTTTCTTCTTTTTCTTTCCTTCAGCCTGCAGAATTGGGTATTACAAGGCCCTCTCCACGGATGCCACTTGTGCCAAGTGCCCACCCCACAGCTACTCTGTCTGGGAAGGAGCCACGTCGTGTACCTGTGACCGTGGCTTTTTCAGAGCTGATGGTGATGCCGCCTCGATGCCCTGCACCCGTAAGTCGTCTGCTTGCCTCACGTCCCCGTGAGGCTGACAACTTTCACTGCCAGCCACCTCTCAGGGCACCGTCAGGGCTTCTCCTGGGGTGACCAGGCAGGGGGCTGATGAGATTAGACATGCACCTTTTTTAATCATAGCCACAGAAATGCTTGTGAACGCAAAGGATCTTTCACACTGTTCTAGTTGTCTTGAAAATGCACAGCTGCCAACAGACTATTTGGTGGAGCAAAGACTGAGCAATTCAGAGGTTGTTTTGATGGTATAATGTGAGCTGAGATTGGAATTTATAAATGGCTTCCCCATTTCATTAAGGACTCCTGGGGAAGCTTGTTAGCTGCGGGGAAACGGGTCGAGGGCAGGGTCTGAGGCTGGGTCACGTGCAGGCATGCGGCTGCCCTGCTGCTCTGATGTCATGGCTGGTGTCATCATTATCCTTCTTCTTTACTCATAGCTTTGTATTCATGACTTTTAGGTCTGGATCTTAATAAACGCTTGTTTAATGATAGGCTGGGTTAATGAGTGGATGGGGTTGGCCCTTGGTATGCAGAGGATTAGAGAAAAGATTTCTCACACTATCTGGGCCGTGCTCCTGGGTGCTCCCATTTCTTTCATGTTCACTGGACTTCACAGACCCTGCAGTGGCTGTGACCTTGACCATAGCAGGAGTGGGCACAGGTACCAGCATGTGTTTCCACTGGGTGAACCTGTGTGCAGGGTGCAGAGCCTCGTGGCCAGGCACACAGGCTTCCCACAGCCCTCCATTTAGTGGCTGAGGGGCTCTTCAGCCTCTTCAGCCTCAGTCTCCTCATCTGTGGAATGGAGGTACACTAGCATCTCCCCCCTGCTGGTTGGTAGCCCACCCTTTGTGTTTGCATACTATGTACAATGCATGAAGTGATGTTACTCAATATATTTCCGGTGTCACTGTCATTACGACTATTATCGTTTTGTTCCCTAACAACTATAAATGCCATCTTGGCCAGCCTGGAGCCCACATCACTGCAAATAGAAGTAGTCTCTGGTTTGGGGGCAGTTAGGCCAGCTGTGCAGCTGTTGTCTGGCCCACCCAAGTACCACCTTAGAAAGGAGTGGGCAGAGGGATTTTGGGTCCATCCTAAATTTGTACTGAAATTGCCAGAGTTTCTTTCCTAACCAGAGACAATAATCATAATCATAATCATAATCATATAGATGATAATGATAACAACAAGAACCATTTTATAATTTATAATTGTATCCAGGTAATGTGTAGGCACTTTCAGTAAACCTTTATCACAGGGCTCATATTATAACAAATCTTTAAGATAGGCATTGTCTTCATTTCATAGACAAGGCAACTGCCAGCACAGAGGTGGTAAGGAATATACCCGAAACTCCACCCCTCCATGGTGATATTGCTGCACAGCTAGAAGATTCCCATGCTTTCTATTTATTGGGAGCCTGTTTGGCCCACTGCCCCAGGTCAAGCACATTCTTCTGGAGGGAAGGAGCATACTAGGACCATCATACTAGGCACATACATAGGTATCTAAGTGTAAATGGGCAAAGATTTCCTTGTCTTCTTCTGTTCCTTCCCCAGATTAAGTAGTTTCTCTGAATGGCCGTGGATGTTTGACATGGTCAAGTACCAGATATTTTCTTTTCCAATCTAAATATTCGTATCCTGTGTTCTAGTGTGTGTGATTAGTTTAATAATAAACGCTCCTCCTAGCCATACCCATTACCAGCAATTCTCTAATTGTGGGAATTTGCACAATAGCAAACTTAAAGGCAAACATGATGGGCTGGCAGTGTAATAATAGCCCCAGTTTGTATCATGCAGTCCACCACCTACTTAGCATATAGGTAAGTCTTATCTGGGTTGGGACTTGACTATGTCATGAATTTCACAAAATTTGTCTTTGATATCAAGAGGACTCTTTCTCCCAGTCTCATGATTCTGATCTGTTGTCTAGCATTCTAGCGGACCAGGGGCCAGTCACTTAATGACTGACTGCAGCTTCTTACTGGGGAGCTTGGGAATCCCCAAAGGTTGTTGGGCACGACTGAGGTACTGGAACATTTGCCATATGTGTAAATGTGGTCACTGAGTCCTTGGAATTTGTGTTCCTATAGGAATAAATTGTTAGCTTTATTGTGATCATGCAAATGAAAGAAAGGAAATACTGATTTTAGCATATGAATGGACCCAAAAGTTTAAAAACTAAAGTAATTTCACACTTCTTGGAGATTGCTTTCAACAGTGTAAGAGAGGAGGAATGGTGGCTTTTTGTGTCATTGATAAAAGGTCCTTGAAAACACCAAAGCAGTTTGTGGTCCTTTCTCTCCTGGCCCATCCTCTTGGAACTCCTATACTTGACTAACGCCAGATTTTTGCTTGATTCTGATGCTTCCTGCAGCCCTCTGACTCGTGGCAAGAGGAAGCACAGTGCTGATGTTAACACCCCAAACTTGCCAAGGTTGTTTCACCCCAAATGTAGTCATCTGTAAAACGGGATTCTCACTATCTACCTGTGGGGTTATTTGAAAATTAAGTAAGAAAATATTTATCAAGGTCTGGCACATAGTAGGAATCTAACAAATCATCTTTTATCCCAGGCTGGTTGCTTCCTCTCCCAAACCACCTCCATAGCGGATTGCCAGTGCATCACATTGCCTCTCCGTGCTTATTTCCCCCACGGGACTCCACAGTTACATTGCCCAGTGACTGCACAGCTCTGCAGAAGCCTCTGATGTAGGGCTCAAGCATCAGTATTTTCAGAAGTTGCCCCTGTAATTCTAACTGTACAAACAAGATTGAGGCCACTTCCCTACTGAGTTGAATTGGTAATTTCTTTAAAAAAAAAAACATTAACTACATAAGACTCTTAAGACCTCCTTTGAGATGGGGATATTTTGCTAATAAGGATTCTAGGAAGTTGAGCAGCAGAATTAGAATGCATTTTCAGTTGGTGGGCCTCCTTCTACATTTCTGCCTTCCTACACTGTCTCTACAGTAGCCAGAAGGTTCACATGGCCATTTAAATTTAAATTATTAAGATAAAGTTTATAATTCAGTTTCTAATGTAACGCTTGCTTGCCACAAGTAAGGGTTCAGCAGCCGCCTGTAGCTAGGGTCACGTGACCATACTGTAGCGCACCACTTTAGATTTCTGTCATTGCAGAAAGTTCTGTTGGGTAGCTCTGTAGTAGACATTTCGATAGAGAAGACAGTGGGAGCTTTTCAGAGAACCTCTTGTTCCAATAACCCACAGAAGGAAGCCCTCCCCCAGCTTTATCGGGGTCTCTTGGTAAGGTGGGGGGATGGAAAGGAACATAAACATCAAGGATCCTTTCAAACTGATTCCAGCCTCTACTCAGTTCTTACCAGTTGGTTAAGCCAGGTGACAAAACCAATTCCCTTGTGCTGACAGCCATGATAATCAGGCACCTTCTTTGTTCATTATGCTGTCTTTAACCCAGCGTTCTCATGCGTCCCTGCATTTAGTGATCGCTCACTGTGACGGCACACTAATGAAGAAATAAAACGTGCTATCTGAGACTCAATTCTTCTAGCCAAAGAGAGGCTCTGCTCCACTGGCTTGTAAAATCAGGTTTTTGTTCACTTGGAGAGCGATTAGACCAGGTGAATACAAGCAGCATTGGCTAATTGAGAAGGAAGCACCTAACAAGTCTTCACACCATCTACAATACTTGTGAACTTAAGAGCATTTAATGGTAAAGAAGCATTACCTTTTTTGATGGAACCTCTGATGAGGTCGACCTCGATGGCTTCTTGTGGAATAGGCAGTGTTTCAGTGGAAACATCACATGAATATTTTCAAGAAAGTAATCCATACTTGTTAGCATAGGGAGTGAGAACAATGCTTCTTCAACATTAATGTGTGTAGAAATCCCATGGAAGTATGTAGGAACCAGTAGGAGAGGTCAGGCCTGACATTGTGCATGTCTAAAACATTCCCAGATGGCTCTGATGCTGCTGGTGTGGAGACTGCCTTTAAATACGAAGGATTTAGTGTTTCCCTGCTGGATGGCCGGAGACTGGAGACCTCCTCTTCTGTGCCTGTAACTTTAGGGTTAGTCTTCAGCTCCGTGGTGACATTAGGAAGGTATTTCAATGGTTCTGAACATTGTCCCTTAATGGAAGTTGAATACTTACTTACTTGTCTCCTAGATGAAGCAGATTTATCCAACTTTGGAGTTGCATAATCAAGTACACCCGCAATAGGGCTTTGCTTATTGCATGTGTTCTCTTCCAGAGTCCCCCAAGTCACTGCCAAAGAGTGGAAAGGTCAACATTCACCTCACCTTCATGTGTTAGTCAAGAAAGTCAACAGGGTTTTTGGTGACACTGCCAGCAAGGCAGACACCAAGACCTCTGTTCACACAGGGATGCCATTTAAACTGATGAAGAAATTTTGATTTCATGAATCATTCTTAGAAGGAATTTCAGTGTGGTTTGTATTAACATAAAACTGTCCCTTTCCATCCGGGTCTCTTTCACCTTCCCCTTACCTTTCCCTGTTGTCAGGAATATAGACTAGCAGTCAGCAGAGTTGGGAAAAGTCAGCTGCAGGCCCCTGTGAGATCGATCGCTTTAGTCATTTGGTTGCTTGTTCAATGACTATAGTGAGAAAGGTCTCCTTTTCCCGCACTGGGAGACTGAGCCAGTACTATGTTAAGGTAACTCCCAACCCCTTACTGTGTTTCAAAATGTGCTGGGAAAAAAAAATGCCTTATAGAAGAAGTAAATTGGCTTTGTGTATCTAGAAAGAAATAGCTAATTTGTTATTTGGCCACCTTAACTTCTGAGCACCATTACCAGAGTGGTTTTCTGTATTTCTCAATTGGAAATCTGTCCTTGTGCCTTGGGGTGCTCTTTATCCAACTTGTTTGATGAGACTTATTAGAGCCTCGTGATTGGGAGCAGTTGGTAAATAAGAGATTGTTATTTTAGATTGTGAACTTGAAGGGCCTTCACAAATCTGTCTCCAAG